TTGCACGGATTTCGCGTTAAACTTTGCGTTCAGTTGAAAGCGTGCAACACAGCCGCACGGTCGCAAAGCTCCAGCTCCACACACCCACAGAGAGAGCGAGAGCGATTAACGATAAACGTTATACGATATACATAAATCAACAAACATTTTTTTTTTTCGCTTTTTGTTTGCATCGATGCGCACAGTATCCGCCTGAGCTGCCCGCCCACCCATAAGTCAAGCGAATTGTGTGTTTCGTGCGCGTAGAATTTCAAGTAAGCAACGATTTCTATCGATAAGGAAACAGCTGTGTGCGTGTGTGTGCGTGTGTGTCTCGATCTATATATGTGTGTGAAAGGAAATGTTGTTGGGAGTGAAACCTTTGCCAGGAACGGATGCAGTTGCAGATGCAGGCGCAGCTGCAGGTGCAGCTGTGGCAACTTTTGCCGGACCTAATGACTCAAGCTGGCAGTAGTACCCTTCACAAAAATAGTAATAAAAGCCCATATGCTCTGCGTTTTGGGCAAATGCAAAAGGCACTCAAGTGCGACTACAACAACAGCAACAACAACAACAACAACAACAACGACAGTAGCAACAGCAACAGCATGCGCAGCGGCAACGGCGATTGCAAGCGGCAACATTTTGCAATCGCCCACAAAAATAAAAAGGCAACAAAAACAGCAACTGCGGGATACATTTGAAAAGATATATGGGATACATGAGTAAAAGGAAAAGCAAGAAAAACATTGACGCAGCACTTTCGTAGATAAGTAGGCTATAACACCAACAATAACAACAGCAATAACAGCAGCAGCAGCAACAACAACAACAATGGCAACTACAAACTGTGACTCTTTTTGTCAAGCATGGGCAAACAACAATTCTGCAAGCAGAGCTGAAACTCCCACCTCCTCCCCCCGCGCCCAGCGAGAGAGTGAATCAAACTTACGCTGAAACTGTTTGAGAATCATAAGTCAAAACCGCAAATAATCGATAATCGATAATCGATTGATATTTATGCGAGAACCAGGGCAGCCATGCAATAATCTATCGGAATTCATAGAATCTCAAGGAAATACATGTCACAATTACTTAACCAACACTGGCTATCCTCGTGTCCAGTTAGATATCAAGATACTTAGTTGAATATAGAGTGCTGGCATGCATTCAAACTGATGCGGGTTAATTTGCGGAAGAAGAAGCAATAGCTTGAACAAAATTAAATTTAAAGTCCACGTTAAAGCGCATGTCAATGTCAACAAGTGATATATGTGGCCACAGCTGAGTGAAACCAATAATTTGCATATTTTATTGGCCTTTAGGTGCTCGTCAACTTTGACATGAATATATGTAAACCTCAATAAACTCGTATATTTAGATCTCTTAAAAGTGCCTGTTAAAGTTGACATAAACAAGTCATCGTAAACAATCAACTAAATAAAAGTTAATTTGACAAGAGCAGAGCTGACTAAAAGTTAACCGGAGCTTAGTGCAGGTCTTAAATATGCTCTCTGCAACATCTGGCAACGCTGTGAATCACATCGCACCGGCTTGGCTAATGCAATTTGGTTTGAATTCTTCGCTCGGCTGCACCAGAAAAAAGACTTAGGACACAAACGCGCAATTGACTAATGAACTGGGCGCACGCATTAGCCAATGTTGCAGCAGCCGCAACAGCAACAGCAACAATTAAACAATGCAATTTAGCTGGGTGTTGTTGCAGCTAAATAAATCACAGCTAAATAACAAATTTGCCGCTACGCATTCAACTGTTAACTTAATTATCAAAAGCAACAATTGCTGCTGCAAGTGAATCAAGCTGTTGCTGTTGGTGGCTGCTGCTGCTGCTGCTGCTGCTGCTGTTCCCATTGGCACATTGACCCAAGTGGCACGCGCTGCCCGAACTGATTGTTGGTAGTTTGTGAGTTTGACGACTGTCAAGGTGACTGACATTAGCGACCCCGAGAGCTGACGACAACCCAACAACCTAGAGCAAAACTCAAGTTGTTGCTGCTGTTGCTGCTGTTGCTGTTGCTGGCCATTGACTTTGGCCTCTTGCGGCTCTGGGTTTATTTGTGTGTGTGTGTGTGTGTTTGTGTCTGTGTTGTGTATGGCTCACGCCAAATTAACGCACAAAATCATTTTAATTGCGCTCACTCTGTTGTTTTGGCTGCCTGTCAACTCTTAACGCATCCGTCAGAGGCAATGGCTGTGCGTGGGCGTGTCAAACTTGACATTTGCAGCGCATGGGCTTGGCCTTCAATGGCTGAGGTCCAGGAAATGTTGCACCTAATTGACTCACACACACACACACACACACACACACACACACACCTACACACACACACACAGACATACTTAACTCATTTGGCAAGAGCTAACAATAGCAGTCGCTTTTAGTCGAGATGCCCAACTGGTTTGGCCTGGCCTACCTGGCACCACAGGCAATCCTCACGATCTCTCTCCCTCTCTCTTTCTCTCTGCAACTCAATAAACTTGTTTGTCGCTGACCCAATTTTGTGCCACTTTTTTTTCGACATTTTTACAAACATTTCATTTAGTTTTGGCTCGTAGTTTTTTTTTTTTCTTTTTTCGCACAACAACCAAAGCTGGAAATKATCTGAAATGCGTGCGCGTTGGTCCCGGGTTTCGGTTTCAGTTTCAATTACAACTTCAGTCGCAAAAATAAATTGTGGAGCCACCTGTTGCTTCTTTATTTGTATTCACTATTTTTTGGATGCGTTCCGAAAGCGCTGAAACATTAGCAACATGAGCCTAGAGTCATAGACCAGTCAAAGCCAGAGCTGATGAGCAGCCTTTGGCCTTTCACTTGGGCGCAGTCAAGCAGCAATAACGACTGAGCGGCACGGTTGTACACTGACACAGAGAGGGGCGTAATGTAACGTCAACTGGGTGAATACCCTGACTTACTGAAAACGTAAATGAAATAATACTGAAAGCTAAGCAAAAGATAAGGAATAGCATTTCTCTATGTACTTCAGGTGAAAGAATATACAATCGATAATTATCGATTTTGGTAAATTGCAAGGCTATTGATATGTATCGATATTTATCGATTTGTGCTTAAATTGGGAAACTATACGTATGATTGACATATCTCTTTATACTTAAATAATTGAAAGCATCATTAGCTTCTCAGATCTACGCAAAGACAATCAAACGTAGAGGCAGACATAAGCAAAACTGAGCTCTATTTGATATTTGATAGGGTATATATGCAAATATCCGACAAACTTAGCAGATATTTACCTCAATCCATCCTCATACAAATTTTGCATAGCTTTTTCCAATATCTCCTATCGATGATACCAGTAGGGCTCTACTTCTCTATTAAATATTTGTTCATGACGTGCATCTATATCGAAGTTTAACTGTACTGTGAGGCAGCTTAAACAGTTCATTAAATATAATATACTTCCTTTGCGATTTTAAAGTTAAGTGTATAAATATCATCCAAAGCCAAACAATGAGGCGTTGCTCTCGTTGTCTAAAAGGTAGTTTCTCATATGTTTACTGTTATTTATGGTAGACACCACAGAGTGTGTAATGCATGAATCAGCTGGTGGGAACCAAGTAGTTGGCATTTGTCGTTGCTGCTCTACCTGGCCGATGTCGGTTGCTGTTTGGACCCACTGTGCCTAGCCGGCTGGCTGGCTAACAAAAAAGCCTAACTGTCAACGGGGCGGCCTAGCGACGCAATGCTGCACGTTTCAACACCCGCGCGATAACAAGCCAACAACAACAACAACAACGACAACGACAACAACAGCAATGTGACAACAGCTGTTGCTATTGCTGTTGTTCAGTCTTAACGGTTGATCGAATGACAATGCAAATGAATTATGCTCAGTCCGATAAGTAAACGAACAACAAAAAGATATTTCGTATGTAGATTTGTAGAAATTTACCAATCGAGCGCGCAAGCTAGCGTCAATTATAACCGAAAGCAAAAACAACAACAGCAGCAACAAGCAACAGCAACAACAACGAGCAACAACTAGCAACAAAAGCAAACATTTTGGTAGCTATTACATCAGAGCTTGTAGATATTGTAATAAAAACGAATGGCCCACGATTTGAAAGACAAACAGAAGTAGCAACAACAAAAGATACTTTTGTATATGTGTATTGTTATTGCTATCGCTGCTGCTGCTTTTGTTGCTGTTGTTGTTGCTGCTGCAGTTTTGAACGGCATTTTGCGTGGTTTACATTCATTATAAGCCGCATTTGTTGTGGCTGCCAAAAGCGGTTGCGTTTTTTCCACACTTTAACGATATTGGCCGCAATAGCCGTCAAGGTCGCGCACGACCGCCACTGCCAAACGCCAAAGGCCCTTTCCGCTGTGCGGCCGAGACAGGTGGGGGGCTTTGCTTGCATTGCCACAATAAACTGTGACTGCAATCAATGCAATGGCAGCCAGCCGCATATCACAACAATGGCCAACAGATTGAGGATGATTTCGAATGCACCAATTGCAACAGCAACGGCTGCCGTACCGGTACCACAACTTTTGATTGGGCCTACATGCTCTGGCACCCCAGGCCAAAATGCTGTAAAATTTACTTGAATTGAAACTTAACTGCAAGCAGGGGAGTGCATCGTCTTATGGCACGTACTGCCAATCAATCTTCCACTTGGGATCAGAGAGTCATGACGTTGGGGTCTCTCGACGTTCAAGCCTCGTTGAGCCCTGTAGGTTGACAGCTGATCAGATCAGTGGGTAGAAGTTGCTTTCTATATACAGACAGGCCATTAGAAATTCAAATCTTGAGTCTAAACAAGCAAGAGAACCTTACAAAGTTCATTGCTTAAAGGAGAATCTGTCGAGCGGTAGAGACAGTCTAGCGACTTTGGGGCTAATTGATCTTAGACTGGTCCAACATTCCCATGTCTTAAGACAGCTGTAAAAGATTCGAATACCTTTATAAAAAGTTTTCCATCTATGACAATTAACAAAGTTTCTCTTCTTACAGCTATCGAGTGTGAAGTACTAACAGCAGCAGCAGCAGCAGGAGTAGGAACAGGAGCAGCTGGCCTAGCGGAAGGTGATAGACGCCACGCCATGCACAAGAAAAGGAAGACCTAGAGAGAGAGAGGAAGACACTCAACCCTTAAGAAAGATAAAGTAAATCCTAAGCGAACCCCAAACGTCATCATTGAACATCGAAGATGGTATTGAATCTTCTCTTCATCACGACTGTCATCAAGTCGACATTTGGAGTGGTTACCACTGGGCTGTGGCTGATACCATTGCTCTTGGCGGCCATCACCTACTACCGCTACGATGCAGTGGATCCGGAATCGCGACCACTCGACCAGCTCAACCTGTGGCCGGAGTACGATTTCATAGTCGTGGGCAGCGGCTCGGCCGGGGCGGTGGTGGCGAATCGCTTGAGCGAGGTGCGCAAGTGGAAGGTGCTGCTCATTGAGGCCGGGCCGGATGAGAACGAGATATCGGACGTGCCCTCGCTGGCCGCCTACCTGCAGCTGAGCAAGCTGGACTGGGCCTACAAGACGGAGCCCTCGACCAAGGCATGCCTGGGCATGCAGAACAATCGATGCAATTGGCCGCGCGGACGCGTTCTGGGTGGCTCATCCGTACTGAATTATATGCTCTATGTGCGCGGCAATCGGCACGACTACGACCATTGGGCAGCGCTTGGCAATCCCGGCTGGGACTATGAAAACGTGCTGCACTATTTCAAGAAGTCCGAGGACAATCGCAATCCCTATCTATCGAACAGCCCCTATCACGGTCGCGGCGGACTGCTCACTGTGCAGGAGTCGCCCTGGCATACGCCCCTGGTCGCTGCTTTCGTGGAGGCGGGCACACAGCTGGGCTACGACAATCGGGACATCAACGGCGCAAAGCAGGCGGGCTTCATGATTGCGCAGGGCACCATACGGCGCGGCTCACGCTGCTCCACGGCGAAGGCCTTCCTGCGTCCCATACGGCAACGTCCCAACTTCCATTTGTCGATGAACTCGCATGTGACCCGGGTCATTATCGAGCCGGGCACCATGCGTGCCCAGGCCGTGGAGTTTGTCAAGCACGGCAAGGTTTATCGCATTGCAGCACGCCGGGAGGTCATTCTCTCGGCGGGCGCCATCAACACGCCGCAGCTGATGATGCTCTCTGGCCTGGGGCCGAGCAAGCATCTGGAGAAGCATGGCATACGGGTGCTGCAAGATCTGCCCGTGGGCGAGAATATGCAGGATCATGTGGGCATGGGCGGCCTCACCTTTCTCGTGGACAAGCCAGTGGCCATTGTGCAGGATCGCTTCAATCCCACCGCCGTGACCTTCCAGTACGTGCTGCGCGAGCGCGGACCCATGACCACACTGGGCGGCGTCGAAGGTTTGGCGTTCGTGCATACGCCGTACTCGAATCGCAGCATCGACTGGCCGGACATACAGTTCCACATGGCGCCCGCCTCCATCAACTCGGACAATGGGGCGCGTGTCAAGAAGGTAATGGGCCTGAAGGAGTCCGTCTACCAGGAGGTCTATCATCCCATTGCTAACAAGGACAGTTGGACCATAATGCCGTTGCTGCTACGTCCACGCTCCCGAGGCACCGTGCGACTGCGCTCCGCGAATCCCTTTCACTATCCACTGATCAATGCCAACTATTTCGATGACCCGCTGGACGCCAAGACTCTGGTGGAGGGCGCCAAGATAGCGCTGCGCGTCGCCGAGGCGGAAGTGTTCAAGCAATTCGGCAGCCGGCTCTGGCGCAAGCCTCTGCCCAACTGCAAGCAGCACAAGTTTCTGTCGGACGCCTACTTGGAGTGCCAGGTGCGCACCATATCCATGACCATCTATCATCCATGCGGCACGGCCAAAATGGGCCCCAGCTGGGACCCCGAGGCGGTCGTCGATCCGCGCCTGCGCGTCTACGGCGTGCGCGGCCTGAGGGTCATCGATGCGAGCATCATGCCCACCATCAGCAGCGGCAACACGAATGCTCCCGTCATTATGATAGCCGAAAAGGGCGCCGATCTCATCAAGGAGGACTGGCTCCACAATCCCGAGTATAAGGTGAAGCGGCAGGACAGCCCCGGCTACAGCGACAGCGACGGCGACAGCATGTCAGCAGCTAGCAGCAACATTTACAGCAGCAGCAACTTCACCAACAGCAACATCGACAGAGACAGCAGCAACGTGACGCTAACAGCAACAGCTGCTGACAGCCGGACAAGCAGTTAGCCGAGTCAGTCGTGGGGCAGGGGTCAGGTGCGCTCAGGGGTCAACTAGCTTTAAAAACACACGAACCAACGGACAGTCAGACCTATAAACAATGTCTTGTTTTTTTTTTCTGTGCTGTTTGTTGTTTGCTATTTGCTATTCGCTGTTGTCGAATCTCAGACTAAAGTTTGCCATTGTTTCAATCTAGTGTTAAAGCAAACAACACACGCTCTTTTTTTTTGTTTTTTTTTTTTTTTTTTGTTTTTTTTTTTTTTTTTTGTTTGGGCTCTGTCACATAACACCCCAGCAACGACAGCAACAACACACAAACAACAATCGGTTTTCCATCCAATCGCAACATAATGAATGCAATGGCATCATGCATGAAATCGAGTCATAGTTATGTATCGTATATAATTTCTAGACTCTAGTTAGACATAACATAGCAATTGTTTGCAATTATTTTTTAAATAATTTAATTTTTTTATAATATTTAATTAGTTTAATGTATGCAAACTATTTTTTTGACTATTTGTAAGCAACACACAAAAATTATTTATATATGCATTAAAATATTATTCTATTTAATAAATAAAATATATTATGAACAATTTATTACACAATAGTATACATATGTATATACAGTAGTATTCCTATAATTCGAAATGGCAAGCGAATCAGTTTTATTTTTTCGATTTACACAGAAATTTAAACTATCGAGAATTATTGAGAGCGAATTTCTATCAAGGGGAAAGAATTTGTTCGATTTATAGCGATTTTCGACATAGTGGGGTACGAATTATCGAGACTCGACTGTACATACTATATCGGAAGAACCTAAAGGGAGGTAGCTCAATTTCAGATATTTGATATTTTAGTATAGCTGGACAGTTTGAAACAATAGAGAGCAATTCATTTCTAAGAATATACACTACGACAATAATAGACTAGTCCTATATACATAGCTGCACGAGTTTCTGCTTGTTTAATAAACATAATACTTTTCAGGTTCTCTTTCCAATGAACAATATAGCAGGCAACAACAATTTCAACAATTTATGTCAACTGCCTAAAAGCAGGCAACACACATGTTTGTCAACCGCAAATAATTGGGGCGTGTCCATAGAGATGGCAATAGAAAGCGAACGATGAATATTTAGCTGATGCCATGAATAAACAAGTTGAAACAAATAAATATATATGTATATCGATAGTTTAATTTGCATGTGATGAATGCCATAACTGTGCATTATATCGGTAGCTTACATATATGAGAGATTCTTGATGATAAATGTCACACTATTGCAACTGATCGATAATTTATCGGTAGTCGTAATCCTATGCGATAAATCTAATATTTGTGAGTTGTATCGAAAGTTGCAATGCTTTATATATCACTCCATAAAGAAGGCATTAGATCGATAGCTCGAGGTCGATCATAAATTACAACGATATTTGAACTGAAATATATCGTAACATAATACCACTAATACAATTCAATTTTAAGTTATGCTATCACATATTTAAATCATTTCTATAATCATCATCGCGGGTTTAATTCTAATTAAAACTACCATCAAGTAATGCCCATCAGGCAAGATAAAATTATATCCCTACTAATGGCCTAGTACTCAAGCCACAAGTAATCTAATAAATGGGCCACGGTGAGACACGTCATTCACGATTCGCTTTCGTATTATTTAATATCGCTCAATCCATGAACGATACTTGAGCACAGTGCCCATATCTGGCGGAAAATATTTATGAAGCACAACAGTTGGGCGCAGTCATTAAATGACAAAGCACCAGGCGACACGCAAATGCAAATTGAACGAAATTAGTTGAATTTATGACTCGCCGTTGCAGCGTTATCCAAACAAAAGCCACAGAAAGCGGCACAACGAAACAATAGGAACAGTAAGGCAGGCAGACAGACAAAGAGACAGATGGATGTATTGATTTCCATACTCTAACTTTTCGATGGCATTGACGAAGGGCGATCAATTCAACTTTGAACTTGGCCACAAGACACGAACTGGTCGTAAGCAACGCCCAGTACTTGGGCCATAAATCATCTTAACAGCTTCGATTTGGCGGCCTTCGCAAGTAATTTTCATGTCCATAATATCGGAAGCCGGAAACTCAGTTTATTTGACTCACTTCGAATCGACGGTCTAATCAATGCAAATTTGCATTTAGCATTGTTCCAGCTAGAAAACAAAAGCGGAAGTGTTTCTCATTTGAGACGCACTTGAGGTGCCAAAAGCTCAGGCCCTGTCAAAAAATTCCAAAAATTCCCAAAATGTAACACGAAAAAATTCACAATTTGTATGCAGTAAAAACCATAAAGGCAGCAGTAAAAAATGAGACTAGAAACTGGCTTCGGCTTCGGTTTCGTACGGCAATAAAAATGATAATTTAGTTGACTAATTAATAAAGCTTACCCAAGCTGCAAGACTTGACCATTTTGACCATTTTACAGCTACACTTTACACCTGGTTAACGGTCAGCGGACGGTTCACAGCGCACAGTTGAAGGTCGTCTTCGGCTCAGACCATACCCTGTGCATAAACCGGCCAGCCAGCCAGCTCGGCTCTTCTTCTCTCATTTTATGCACCTTCCAAATGCCTAACAGTCGAGCATTATTAACGGGTTTGGTTTTATGCTGCCCACGCTCAACTGTTTCTCGGCCCACAGAAAAGTTACTCTCGAGATCTGTTGAGCTCTGAGAGAGACTGTGGGCGTTTGTATGCAATCTGTGGCTCAGTACAGGGTATCCATAAGCTAGCTAGCCTTAAGAAGCTCTAAGTTCATAAAAGCGAAAGTCAACAATTTCAGCTGGAAGTAAATAGTCTGAGCCGTAAGATCAACTTTACTCAACTATCCAAACTTGAGAAATAAAATAGTTTTTAAAAGCGAATTTTGCATGTGGTATAAACCAAGCACAGAGCATTTTCCCAATTCACGTATAAAAGAGTTCTTAACATTAAGTATACGCAGAGTTGTCTGCGAACGCAATCGAACAGCTGATGGTGCCGCTTCTTGTCACCAATTCGCCCTTCAGCCGATCTAGCCAAATTAAACTATATATATATAG